AGGGTTCGGGGGCTGGTGTCAGGCTGCGGGACCACGGAGCTGCGGTGCTCCCGGGTGCCTGCGTGTCCGTCCCTCCCAAGGTTCGGGTGCTGGTGTCAGGCTGTGGGACCTTAGGCCCGTGGGGCTGTTCTGGGCTTTATTTTAAGTTGATTATCTTTGCGGTGCGACGCAGCGTGATGGCTGTCCTCCCCTGGGGAGGATCCCCCTCAGCCGCTCCAGTCCTCTCGTGGAGATGCCAGAAAATCTTAGCTGTGTCCCGAAGTCAGTGCTTCTTCCCTCTGTCTCTCTGAGACAGGACGGTGGAGGAGTCTGCTGTTCATTTGGGCGCTGCCCTGACCCGCTCCCAAGGGATGAGCGGCCCCGTTGCTGTCAGTTCCGCTCTGGAGCGAGGGGAACCGAGAGACTCGCAGCGGCAAGGTGGGAGCCAGCGTGAGGGCTCGGGGAAGGTTTGGGAACAGCCAGGGAAGAGGCAAGAGCAGTCAGAGTCTGGGCAAGCAGAAGACCACCAAGTCTCATCTGCTGTCTCTAGCTTTGAAAACACCGCTTGGAAGAAGGCTTGGGGTGTTGGGTTTAGTTTTGTGGGATATTTTTTTTTTAACTACAGACACCAAAGTAACGAGGCACTTTGATAGGAGGGCGGCCGCTGCTCTGCGCCTGCTGGCGCTGCGCCTGCGTGCCCAGGCCGTGCGCAGATGCAGCCGTTTGTTCTGTATCTTCACCGTCCAGTCTGTCTCCTGCGAAGCAGAGGTGGGATTGTGTGCACACTGCTTATTTTCGGAAGCAGGAGAATTTTCAGAACAGGCTGACATTATATTTATTTTAGTCCCTCTATAATTTTTGTTAGAAGGATGCATGTGTGTTTGAAAGAAGTTCAGATATATGTGTGTGGGGGGGGAGAGGGTTGTTTTGGGTGCCTTCGCCCCTGAAGATCTAAATTACAGCTGTTCTGGACTTGGCTGAGAGAAGGCAGTGAAAGAAGCCTAAATTGACCGAGTCAGCTGGTTGGGCATGACCACAAGGAGCTGGTGCTGGAGACCTTCATGGAGGCCCTCTGCAGCTGCAGGGGACAGAGGAGTTTTACAGCCTTGTCCTGGCTTTGTGCAAATCTGAGCAACTTGGAGACAGCTGGGGCTTGCACTTTATTGCTCCGCATCTGCACTGAGCGAAGCTCGTCTTGGGGGAGTCTGTCTGACCCCCAGCCCGGTGTGCCCGAGAGAAGGTGAAGGGCAAACCCAAACCTGAGGGGGGGAAAAAAAAAAAAAAAAAAGGACAAACCCCCCCCACCCTGTGCTGATGCACAGCCCAGGTTCAGGTTGCTCTTCAGCCAGCCAAGAGCCTGGACCTGCAGAGGAGCAGTGATGTCAGGAGCTGCGGTGCCTCTGGGATGGTACCCGCTCCCCATTCCTTAGCGACTCTGCATGGGTCTGCTGCTGGGACCTCCCTTTGGAGAACTTGGGATTGTAAGCATGGCTTCATCCTCCAGAAGGCTGCTCCTGATCCCTCGCGTGGGCGCCTCGTCGTGTGCTCCGTTAGCAGCAGACGAAGGAGTCTCTGAACTCCCTGTCTCCGTAGGACAGATCATTTCAGATGCCTGTCCCCATCACCCCAGCCGCTTGCTGCAGTGAGGAGCTCTGCGCCCCATGCGCGTGTCCCTGGCCAGTGTCGCAGCGTGACTGGTCTCCGAGAGCTGTACTTCAATCTCTGTGAGTGTCTGATGGCCAAACTCTTAATTCCTCATCCTCGAGGAGAACCACTTACTAGGCACTTAGTCTTGACGTTGATACATCCTTGGGTAGATGACCTCTGATAATGGCGTCTGCCCGGTTGTGGGGCCTCACCACCTCCTGGGGCTTCACAGGGGCTTCAGCAGGCCTGGCTTGGAGCTGTAGGAATGGAACTGCAGCTCTTCGTGCGAGGACACAGCGAGGTGGCTGCCACGTGCAGGATGTGGTAGCAACACCTCGTCCATGCAAGGTGTGGAGATGATGTAAGGGTCATGTTGGCCTATGGCCCCTCAAGTTCTTCAGTCTTCTGCTGTCCAGGAAGGTCCCCTGTCCTCTGAGTCCCCCCATCCTTCTGTGATACTGCATATGAGAACATACGCTGGCTGCGGTCAGACTCCTGTTTCCTGGAATCATAGAATGCTTTGGGTTGGAAGGGACCTTTAGAGATCATCTAGCCCAGCCCCCAAAGGAGGAAAACCTTCATTTCCCAGTTGCTTTTCTTTGTGTTGGGGCCACTTTTCAGCATGCTGCAGGCTCCCTTTGAGGGCATTAGTCTTCAAAAATCCCGCTTGCCATGGAGTCGTGTTTGGCCAAGAAGGACTTGGTGCTGCCCCAGCTCTCTGCTGGGCTCATCCTGAAGAAGAGAAGTGAGGGAAGGAGGTAGGATCTTGGCTCGGAACATGGAAGTCCAAAAATTACAGATCTTGGAAGTGAAACGGGGGATCAAGCCATAAGAGCTCTCCCTGTAGCAAGGTGGAGGGGTTTGTTCGCTGCCTGGTGTGAAGCTCCCCGAGGCAGGTGACTGCTCCTCGAGTTGGTGAGAGAAGACTTTGTGCAGAGGGCTGGTGGTCGCGTCGTGCTGGTCTCAGTCTGACAGCTCCACCTGAGAAAACATCTCTTTACTGTTCGTGTCCTGGGACAGCCTTGTGAAGAATGTGTGGTGTCCAGGGACCGTGCTGGGCTGCCCGGGCTGTGGTGGCGGCAGGAAAACCACCTCTGCTGTGGAGCCGTGGCTGTTCCTGGGGTTTCTCAGCATCTCCTGCCAGTGACTCTTCTCTGCCCCTTCCTTCTGCTGCCTGCTCTGTAGTTAAAACAATTTTATTCTTTCCTGGGCTCGTGCTACCATTTGTAGTCTTTGTGAGAAGATCTCGTCAGGAGATGCCGGCAGGATGCTCTCTCAGGCTGAAATGCCCTTTTTAAAAAATTATTATTTTTAAGTCCCAGGCTTTGCCAAGCAGGGGTGGCAGCCAGGAGGGCCCCAAACTGTTTTTGGAGGAGAGAAGTTTGCAAATGCCCGTCACCCCTGTCCCGGAGGCCGGCGCGCCGCAGCCTGGCCT